AGACAACGGATTCGGATTCAGCGACCCCAAAAACATATGGTAAACATGGTCTGAGCCCAGAACTCGGAAAAGAAAAATTTTATCAAGTTTTTGAGGTTATGTCGTAACCCTGACATTCTGGAGTTTTTTAGACCTCGGATTCAGATTCAGCGACCCCGAAAACATATAATAAACATGGTCTGACCCCCGGACTCGAATATAATTTTGTATGAGGTTTTTTGAGGTTATGTCAGAACCCTGACGTGCTGGGGTTTTTTGGACCTCGGATTCGGATTCAGCGACCCCGAAAACATATAGTAAACATGGTCTGACCTCCAGACCCGAAAAAATATTTTTTTTTGTGTGGCTGTGTTATTTGTTAATTATTAATTGTCAATTGTCAAACAAAAACTACAGGATGTGATTGAAGAAACGAATGAAAGAAAGCGCCTCTTTCAAATCTTTGTAACAAAGATATTAAATTATCTAAACTGCATTTCTCGAGCGTAATTCTTAATTCTTGATTATTATTATTATTGATTATCATTAACAAATCGTAAAAATGCCGCCCCCCCCCATTATGCCGCTCTGGGCCGTTGCCCGGTTCGCCCGTACCTCGGGCCGGCCCTGTGTAGGTGGACCAGACAAGTCGAAGTCAGATAGCAATTTAGTTAACAAAGGCGCAACGCAGGCTCGATGCCGCTCCTTAATATGTAAATTATTTATTTATTAAAATGACTTTTTTATAAAAAATATTGTTTATTTTTTTGAAATATTGTTATTTTTAAATAAAATGGTTTTGTCACAATTTTGCAGCTCTGTTATTATTAATACTATACTCCACAAATCAAAGTCCCACCATGTGACTGATAATTGTATAAGGAATGTTTACAGGAACTGTATGCTCCGTGACTTTGATAAAAAATAATTAAGGTTAATTTTCTGTCAGTGTCAAGCTTATTTTATCCTATTTCCTAAATGCAATGCAATATATGAACTTTTTGTGTATAAAGGTCTTAATTTAGAACACAAAAAATACCTATATTGTATTATTTTTAGAAAATAAGACGAAATTAGCTTGATAGGTACTGACAAAAAATTAACCTTAATTATTTTTATCAAAGTCACTTGGTGGAGCATACTTCCTGTAAAAATTCCTTAAACCGGCGCGCCGGTTTAAGGAATTTTTACAGGAAGTATGCTCCACCAAGTGACGCCGCGGCGTAAGGAACATTCCCAAAACGTTCCTGGGTATAAGAGGCAATAAGGGCTGGAAATAATCCCCAAATTAGATCAAGGAATATTCCCCTAACAATCCTTGAGTCTATTCTTTTTATGATGCCTGGGTTAATCAAAAACCGGACATTTGAATATGCCAGGAATATTCTGGGACGCTTGGAATATTCCTGGGAATATTCCTGACATGTGCAGGGAATGTGATTTTGCGGTCTGGGGATAACTTTCATGTCTTGGCAATATCTAGTATCCAAAGAAATTATTCGTCAAATAAATCAAAAATTAATAAAATGTGGCACCCTTAGAATTATTGTTTAATAAATGTATACTATACATTTAACCTTTAATTAAAACTTTAAACGTGTATTACAACAAAACAGTAAAAGATATAAAAAATGTATAGACCTTTTTTTAGGAAATTAACTAATCTTTAATCTGATTTAAAAAGTTATGATAATATTTAAATAAAATCGCAAGTTTTAATTGGAGAATTGAAAGTGTGCATACATATTTTTAATAAACATCCAATTAAAACAAAATTAACCGTCAAATTTTTTTTATTTTGCTCTTAAAATTTTAGTTATGACCTTATTAACGAGAATATAAAAAAAATTAGGTTTCACAGAAAGTCCAAAAATCACCTCTCAGAACAGCACCGTGTATTATATGTTGCCATAAATTCGTAGGTACATATATTTTGTTGTTTAAAATGCAGTTGTCGGCGTTTTTTAGAGACATATGTTTAGAGAACACAAATATAAAAATGGTTGATTTTAAGGTTATGTTTGTGCAAAAATTAATTTTTACTAATTTCTTAGAAATGTCCAAAGTTAAATATAAATTATAATAGGTAAAGTTATCATTATCATAGTTAATTCTGCACCAACAAATGTACTTACTTACTTACCGAATTGGATCCTTTGGCAAAACATGAAAATGCAACGATTTAGTTTTTGAATTTTATTTACAATAATTGTTACAAATTTTGTTCAGCTAAATCGCGCACGTTATTTGTGTTTTACGTTCCAAGGAAAAAATTAAAAAACATTTTTATTACTCGATTTCGATTGATTATTCCTTATATCATTGACTAAGAAACTCAACGCTTAAATGCTTATATAGTAACGTTAACTAATTAGTCTGTGTATTTTATCATAGTGAATTATTGTGTTTTTTATTATTAAGTAAAACACAAATATCGTGCGCGATTTAGCTGTGCAATTGAACAAAATTTGTCGAGTAAGACTTCTGCCTTCCTCTCTTTTGTAAAATAACTACCTATTTATTTAAAAATGATGTACAGTTCGTATGCTTTAAATGTATTGTTGACAATTCTTAAATTTACGCAATGCTTTTGAAGTCCACCAGATGGCGCGCGCGTTGTGAAAGCTATACACAAATTACTAAAGCTGGGTCTACAATTGTCGCAGGTCATCGCCGAACATAAGCTTGTGCCAAGCACCCAGCTGACAAAAGAACCTAGCTCCATCGCCACGTCGCGGGGTGCTTTGCGCAAGCTTATGTTCTTCGATCGGACCCCTGCGACAATTGTAGACGCGACTTAAAAGTCGTTTTTTCGCGTAAATACTATGTAATACTACGGTTAAATAAGTCATGACGTCACAGTTAATTCATATAACCATGGTTAGGTTTCTAACATTTGACATTTGTTTACTTGTTCATAACCTATAATTTTTGAAATGTGTTTTTACCTATTTATATTTAATTTCTATGCTTTTACCGGTGTAAATAAATTTCGTTGCCTCTTTTTATACCTAGTATATTCTTTTTCTATAGGTACTAGTTTTTTTAATACACGTTATCCAATTCTCCTACATGTTTAATACAAAATAAGGAAGAATATAAAAAAAACCTGCATATAATTCCTCCACTTGTGGAGATTCACAATATGGAGCACCCTATCATTTATTTTTACTGACAACACCCCGTTTACCATTTTAATACAAAGTTTAAATTCGGTTTAAGAGCCATTGTACCTACTTAAAATATTTTAAATTTCAAATGTAAACAACTTCTTGACAGATCGAAACAGAAAAATATATATTAAAAAGAGAAAGACTATTAACCACGTTGAATAACTAGCTCAGCGATATAGTTTTATGGTCTGGTATTTGTGACGTCATAGTTAGGATTTTTGAACGCACTCTAAACGCAAAAATGCCTTAACTATTAACCACGGTTAAGTTTAATAACCATAGTATTTCATGGTATTTACGCGAAAAAACGACTATAATGTCCTATCTAAAAAGCTACTGAAAGATTTTTATAAAAATTATACTTTAATTTATAGAAATGTTAATTAATTTATAAAAATTATACTTTAATTTATACCTACTGTGTAGGTAATCAGTTCTAAGGAAAAAAATTATAGATTATTTAAGGGAAATAAAACGCTCTACAAAAAAGGTCTTTTGAAATCATGCTATAAGTTTTATGGTTTTGCGGGAAAATTAACAAATTTTTGAAATTTATTCTAAATTCAACTTTGTCCTTGAATAACTTTTGAAAGAGTAAATTTATCATAAAATGTTTAAAAATCTTTTTTATAGAACATTTAATTTCTAACAAAAATCTATTATCTATTAGCAGGGCCGGCCCGAGGTACGGGCGAACCGGGCAACCGCCCGGAGCGGCACAATGGGGGGGGCGGCATTTTTACGATGTGTTAATGATAATAAATTTCAATGAACATAATACAAAAATTTCGATTGGCGATTTTTTCCAGTATTAAGCTCGAGAAATATCTTTGTTACAAATGATTTAATAGAGGCGCTCTCGGAAGACGACGCTGGCGCCCTCTTTTATTTGTTTCTTCAATCATATCCTGTAGTTTTCTTTACTGTGTTTGACAATTGACAATTAATTGAAAAATATCTCACGATCGTGCATTGTAAAATCAGTGAATTACTAAGGTAGTTTGATAATTATCTAATTATAATTAGAAGTTTAAAATGTCTGAAAAACGCAAAAAAGATTTAGGAGCTTTTTATAGACACCAAAAAAGGGCGCGTGAGGCGGAAAATCGAGTTCTAGCAGCAACATTTTCCAAATTTTTGAAAAAAAAAACCATCGTGTGAAGGTATTATAAATATACTATAATTTACCGTAAACACGGGTGGTTTGAACCCCGCGGGTGACTAACTTTTTTAAAAAATATTTTCGCGTTCGATAAAATTAACATTAATAATTTGTTGGTCAAAACCTGTCAAATAAGCGATTCTATTTAGTTTATATTACAGAAAAATTAGTGTTTTAAAGAAATAAATGGGATTTATTACAAATTTATCGCACATTTCGTTATTTAAATAATATTTAAATTTCTATATTAAAATCATAGTTTTTTTTCTTTTTTGCGATTGCCTTACCTATTGGTGATTCTAAAGCATAAAAAACTAAAAAATAATTACGTTAAACTACCTTTGCCACTATTTCTGCCGAATAACAAGGGGGCGGCAAAAATATCTTCGCCCGGGGCGGCAAAAAATGTCGGGCCGGCCCTGTCTATTAGTACACGTAAATTCCCGTTAATGAGTTACAAAATTCCAAATTAAAAAAATTCTGCACAAAAAGTTTAGTTCAAATCAGTACAACCAGATGGCCACCGGCGTTGCAGCAACGTCTATTTTAATTTAATTTTGTATTAATTTATTTAGTTTAACTTTTAAGCTAAAGGATCCAGAAGTGGCGAGAAATGAACTAAATAAAGGACTAACGATCAAAAAAGGTTCATTTGAACTGGTTACCAAAACAGAATAGTACAGCAATTCTATGGTAAATCTGGCAACATTACAAGCGTCAATAAACCCCTTCTGTCAAATAAGAAGTGCTTGTTATTTGCCTGAAATCAACAAAGAAATGGGAGATAAACGTTCCTATCCTCATTCTAGCACTGATGAGCCCCCCAATTCTCGGTTATTTGTGATCGGAAGCAAAATGCTGAAAGAGGAAGACTTCCGATCTGCTTTCGGAGTGTTTGGGACAATTGAGGAAATATGGGTGGTAAAAGACAGGAGCACTGGGGAAAATAAGGGTAGGGCTACTATTATAGTATAGAATGATTTTTAATAGAATAGTACTTTCATGCCACAATGTCATGTCATATCTTGGTTGTGTTGCACTGTGTTATGCTATTAAATTGTGTTTCTAGGTGTGACTTATATTAAGTTTGCAAAAACTTCCGAGGCAGCATGTGCCTTGGAAGCTATGAATGGCAAATCCATAGGAAATGTAAATAGGAGCATTAAAGTCATGATTGCTGCAAGGTGAATTAATTAATAAATATTCTTACTTTTTAGTCTAATAACTACATATTTAATGTATTTTAGTCGGGACCAAGGATCTAAAAGGGAATCCAATGAGGAAGAAAAAACTTTACGATTGTTTGTTGTGGTACCTAAAACAATGACTGACTCGGAATTATATGATGAATTTAAAACTTATGGTGATATTGATTACGCAAATATTTTAAAAGACAAGGAAACAAGGGAAAGCAAAGGTTTTGCCTATGTTAAATATTACAAGTAAGTGATATTGTATATTCTAGGTTATCCTGTACATTTGCTACTACTATTACATTTTTTTCATATTAACTTTTCTGTTAGAGATGTAAAAAATGTTTTTTTTCTGATTTACCAATAATTTAAAATAAAGTATCCAAATGTTAAAAAAATGTTTCAAAAGGTCCAAATGGAGATTGATCATTTAAAAATTGTTATTAATATTACCTAATATTAATTTTTCCTTTCTTGATATATAATAATTCAATATAGTAAAATATAATATATATATATAGTAAAATATTTTTTTCCATAATTTGGAATTTTGATGGACACCAAAATATTTGATTTCTTATTATTTGGTTGTTTCAACATAAGAAAATCATAATATTATTACAGTCGATGGCCTTTTGTATATTTTGTATTATATGTTCTGTATTGTACTGAATATGCAATAAAAACTTTATTTATTTATTACAATATCTTACAAAATTTAAAAAAAAAAAAGATTTCAACAGAGCTAGGATATTATTTTTGTCTTCAGAGCACCCAAAAACGAAAAATGCAAAAAAGTTGAAGTCAGACAAGAATTTATTGCTTGATAGCCAATTTTTTTTTGTAAAGTTAAAAAAATCGCTGTTTTGTTATCATTTTAACTGAATTATTAATAGAATCAGAATAGAATATTTGGCAAATTTTAAGCCACATCCAAGGTTGTTTGATTTATTTGTTCAAAAGATATGGTCAAAAAAGGTCAAGAAGCAAATCCGACGAAAACCTTATTTTTGTTAATAAAACCGTACGAAATAACCCCAAATTTTCCACCAATGTTGTAGAAAATTTAATAGCGACCATTTTGATATATTTAGACTCGAAAAGTTGTTTAATCTTTACGTTTATTTTCGCATTTATAGCAAAAATTGCAAAATTGTAAATGATTTTTGCTAGTAATTAAGAGATGCTGAATAAAGAAGAGTATTAACAACTTAAAACGACCTTAAAATACATAAAAAGTCATTAAAATGGAATTTTTGAACAAAAAATTAATTTTCTTCATACCTTGTTCGAAAGTACGTACTTTCGTCCCTAATAGCAGGGACGAAAGTTTAACATTTACTCCCTGTGCTATTAGGCACGAAAGTAGTACTTTCAAAGTACGTACTTTCGACCAAGATAAACTCTTGTCCCTGCTATTAGGTACGAAAGTAAGTACTTTCGACCGATGTATGAAGAAAAATAGTATACACCAAACGGGCCAAACAATTTTGCAATCTATGTTGTTAATGCGAAAATGAGCGTGAATTTTAAACAATTTTTCGAGTCTAAATATCGTCACCCTAATATTACAAGGTTGTATGTCATGTTTTTTGCACTTTCCGACTTAATAATATAACAAGGTTGTATGTTACCAAATCTTTCTTTTTCAAGCAAAACATAGATGGAATTACCCATATTAAGTAAAATATTAGGAAAATTACGGAGGTGTATGTGCTTTAATATGTTTAATAAAACCAACAGAGGTGTATGTTTAACATACACCTTTGTTATAAATACTTTGGAAATAAATTAACATTAACAAGGGTGTATGTCCATTAGGCTTGTCAAAGACATTTTGTGAGAATTTACCTTAATCACAAAAATGACACAATCAACAATACTTGTGTAACGTCAAATTTACAATTTGCATTGTTCTTTGTTTTTGACATACAAACATTTTAACGCAACTTTATGTGCTATTAAAGTGAGATTCTGAGTTCTGTGTGACATCTCATTTACAAGTGCTGTAATTAATTTGTTAATAATTAAATAATAAAAACATGGATGCCCAAGGTAGATCTAGAATATTACTAAGCGATTTTACCAAAGCAGAACAGTTCAGGCGGCAGTAGTAAATAAAACAGGAAAAAAAATAAAAAAGTGATTTTACCAAAGGACAAACTAAAACGGCAGTAGTTAAAAATTTAAAACAAAAAAAAAAGCACAAAAAACACAAAAAAATTGAATAATCATGCTAATTTCTATTAACTGTATTTTTTTATTATAACATTTGTTTAAAGTTTTTGTATTTTAAATATTTTTCTTTTGTAGTTTTTATTTTTTCAGTTTAGTTCTAATTTTGAAGTATACGGTAATTAAAATATTTAAGTTAATTAAAATGTCATAGTTCTATGTAACGTAAATAATCAATAAATATAATTAAAAAAATTTACAAAGTTGTATGTTTTTTTCAAAATTTTACTAATTTTGAATATAACAACAATTGAGTCAAAATAAACATAAGAATTTACTAAGATTGCATATGAAATCAGCTCAAAGCAAAATCACAAGTAAAAAATATTGACTGTACCTAAAGGCTGATGGGCTTTTTTTGTTTTACGTTTTACTCAAAATGTGTAAATAGTAACTTGTAATATTAGGGTGACGATAATATGTCAAAATATTCGTTATTAAATTTCCTACAACATTGGGGACATTTCGTATGGTTGTATTGATTTTCGACGTTTGTTTGACGAAAAAGTTTTCGCCACAATCCACACAACAAGGTCTGTTCTAAATCGTTCGCGCATTCTAAAAATTACGAAATTAGGCAACCCACTGCACAGACTAACGGCGGCCATTTTAACTTGTTTACAATTCTTGTGCTGTTTATGCAGATTAATAATCGTTTTAAACGTTCTTTTTCTTACAGAGGCACTTGTAAGGCCTTAAAATTATAAAAATGATAATGTTGGCATTTTACTCCTCTTTTGTAAAAAATAAACCCTATTCTATTATTAAACTCAAATTTCAATCTTAAGGTTAATTTTTGGATATGGTAAATTTGTGGGTTTTGGTAAATTAACCTTAAAATTGACATTTGATAGTTTGATTACAGCCCTTATAGTATAATGTTTATTTTTTATAAAAAAGTAGTAAAATGGTTGTCCTTGGCACTTTAAGGGCTCATTTGAGGCTTGTCCTATGTAAGAAACACAACGTTACAGATTTTTAATCTGTATCAACAGCACAAACCCAAAGCACAAGAATTGTAAACATAAAAATGGCCGCCGTTGGAGTGTGCAGTGGGTTCCCTAACTTCGTAATTTAAAGTAGTAGTATTGTTCATATCTCATGTATTGGTGTAGATAATGCAGTTTGAATGAAAACCAAGGGATTTTTCAGTTTCAGCAAAAAAAAACAGAAAATTGGCATTTTTCGAAATTTTTGTGTGCCCTGAACGCGAAAAAATGCTGTTGCAAAATTGTGACAAAATTTTTTTTTTTTTAATTTTCTATTAGTATTTTTATTAAATTATTTTCAAATATTGCTGAAATAAATGCCCGGATTTTTTACTAAAATATTCAAAAATTTAATTGGAAATATTGTAATTTTTTGCTTGATTGGATTTATAAAGGAAGTAAGTTTCCAACGAAGGCAAAAAAACCTAAAAAAATAGGATACCATTATTATTATTCGATTTTTTATTGTGTTTTCCAATTTTATTTTAATTTCTTACAAAGTACTTGATTTCTCTTTTGATAGATCAGCTGTTGGAACCGAATCCACTTTTAAAGACTTTTATGTTCTTTCAATCCAATTTTTCTTTTTATAGCAACTATCTTTAAAGTAAATGGAACAAATACAAGCTACAAAACAAACAAAAATATTAACCTAAATTATTTTTTTATTTATTTATTTGTCACAGATAATCTGTAATCTATTTACTATCCTTAATATCAATTTTTTCAAGAACACACTAAGGAAATGTATTGGATTTACAGGTTTTTTCTTTTTACAGATTTTTACACTTAAAAAACTTTAAAATAGCTTAAAAAATAACTCACATCAAAATGTAAATAGTCAATAGTCTAAAGTGTGAAAAAAACAGAAAATGGTGAAAAAAACTAATGTTTTTCCCACTTTTGTTTAGATTTTCTCATGCTGCCATAGCATTCGAAGAATGCGATAAAAAATACCGCCCTGTGTTCGCGGAACCGAGAAAATCTCAAAGGGACCTGGAAATGGACAGGCACTATTCTGCGCCTAGAGGTCATGATCAAGACAACTATTCCCAAAACATGCCAATCGCGCCTCCTCTGGGAATCCCAGACTTTCACAGCAGCGGCGAAGGCTTCACAAAATTAATTGTGATTGCCAGCCCTGTTTTGAACCAGGACCAATTGTGGAAGCTCTTCGATATAGTACCAGGCTTGGATTACTGCCACGTGAACTACGAGGGTAGACCGAGACCCACAAGGGCTGTGGCGGAGGTTGCCTATACGTCCCCGCAATCGGCAGCCCATGCGAGGGAAAAACTCCACGGGTTCGAGTACCCCATGGGGTTCAGGTTGATCGTGAGACCGGAACAAGACAATCGGCCGAATGTCTTCGCCGGAAGAAGCTTGGACAAACCAAAACCTGATATTCTACAGATCGCTGAGACTATTGCGCAAGCGTCCAGTCTCATTCAAGCAGCAGGGTTTTCACCGGGTGTGTATTAGTTTTGAAACACGATAAAAAAAAACCGGTATGCTATAGCTATCTCTCGCACCGTGTGACGTCATGTGCGAACCAAAAGCTGGCGCTAGAATGTCATTTGCATTGCAAATTCACGTTACATTCGAAAATTTATATACCGTACCTTCATTTGCAAGCTAACCATAGGGAAAATACATTTAACTGGACCAGATAAGTCGCAGTCAACACAAAGCGAGAACCTTCTCAGAAATGATTTGGATGCGTCGTCGAGACATGCGTACTAAAACAAATTTTACCAGATTTACACCGCACAAAATACAAAACAATAATTAAGCATCGATGTATGAAGCAAGGTCAACTGTTACGGCGCATGCTAGCTTACTCGTCCACGCGTCCAAATCATTTCTACAACGTTTTTCGCTTCGTGCTGACTAAGACTTATCTGGTCCAGTTACAATGTATTTTCCCTATGGTTAGCTTGCAAATGAAGGTACGGTATAGAGGGACGGTCTGGGTGCAATTATTAAGTGTAACAAATGTTAAGAGAAAGTTAAATTGGCAGCAAGTGCTTTTAATACTAATGCAACATATTTTAAGCAACAATTAATTTCTTACCTTGCTAATATCATTTTTCAAAATATTTTTTATTCAATGGAATTAACTTAACTTACGCTAGACCGAATTTAATTTTTTTAAAAGCTCAAAACTTTTTTTATACTTGCGACACTTTTGAAGCGGGTTTCCGATACAATTGTGTTTTAATTTTTATTATTAGTAAAACTCATGCAAGCTGTAAAAAATATATGGTTAGGGTGAAAAGTTACTATAAGTACCTGACAGAAAACTGGGTAGGTATACCAAAAATTGCCTTTGCTTACGGTTTTCTATTTTCATTTCATCCTTGCTCTTGCATGCATGCATGCACTGTGCTGCCAGATTCTTATTTTTTGAAAATCGGAAATATTAAATGTTAGCTTAGGTTGAGTTTCCATTCATACACTGCCCGTCAAAATTAACGCATAAGTAAAAAAATTCTAACTCTAAAACGCCTTTACCAATCTTTATGAAATTTTGTATAAAAATACTTCAACTTATATCTCAGTTTACGTGTGCGAGGGTTTTTCGAGAAAAAACGTTAAGGGATTTTTTTTTAAGTAAATAAAAATATGCTGTTAAAGACCGTATTTTTGTTAGTATACCCTGAAAATTTATTACAAAATGTGCATAGCGTAAGCCTGTGCAAAACTGTTTGTAACATTTGAATCTGGTTCGCACGTGACGTCACATGCGCGGAGTCGGCGAGTTTTCGTGTATCGGTTTTTGTGTATTGTGGTTTTGGAGTAAAATGTTTTGAAATATCTTTTGTTATTTGTTTGTGTTTTTAGACATACTTCAGGCCAAATTGGGTCTCGGGAACAAATCCAATCCGGGTACGAGCATGGATCTAGATATCCAATGCAGCGTGAAGTTGCCTGAAAGAAAACCTCTCGCGAAAATCGATGATGAAACAGTGGCCAGGTAGGTCAAATCCAGTTAATCATATAAAAGAAATCACACAATGTTTTTTTAATATGTTCACTGAACATATTAAATTCTCAAACTTTGTTTGATTTCTACTATATCTTATTTTATCATAAGCAAACTACAACTTTCAATTATCAGCTGTTAAAAAAAAATGTTAAAAATATCGAGAGAGAAAAAAACGTGAAACGATTTGAGGTTGAGTTTTACCGGCCTCCCAATAAACAGTGGAAATCCGAATAAAGAAATAAATTGCATACATATAAATCTAACCTATTAGATACAATATATACAAAATTTAGTAACGATTTACGTGAAAATTGTAAACATTTCGTTTCAGTAAGAATTAGGTTAAAAATTAATTTAAAAATATAAAACTTGGGTTTGGGTAAAAACGTGGGTAGAAATAAAAAAAAATTCTTACCTTTTAAGGAATTTTTATGTTTTTTTTTAAATGAGGGGCTCATGTTAATAATTAATTTAAAAATCTAAAACTTTGGGAGTACCTTCAGAAGGGTAAAAAAGTAAGAAAAAAACCTTTTTAAAAAAAATATGTTTTTTTCTTATTTTTTAATTAACTTTTCTAAATTTTTTTTAAAAGTGGTCGGGCCCAGGTTAAAAATTAATTTAAAAATCTGAAACTTTGGAAGTACCTACCTTCAGAAGGATAAAAGAGTAAAATAAAACCTTGTTTGAAATAAAAATTATGTTTTTTCTTAACTTTTAAGAAATTCTTCTGATATTTTTAAGTGGTGAGGGCTCAGCTTAAAAATGAATTTAAAAATCTGAAACTTTGGGAGTACCTTCAGAAGGGTAAAAAAGTAAAAAAAAACCTTGTTTAAAATAAAAATTATGTTTTTTTCTTATCTTTGAAGGAATTTTTCAGTTTTTTTTTTTAAATAATTTAAAAATCTGAAACTTAGGTGTACCTTAAGAAAGGTAAAAAAAGTTTGCAAAAACCTTGTTTAAAATAAAAATTATGTTTTTTTCTTACCTTTGAAGGATTTTTTTTTAGTTTTTTAGTGGTCAGGGCTCAGGTTAAAATTAATTTAAAAGTCTAGAACTTTGGGAGTACCTTCAGAAGGGTAAAAAAGTAAAAAAAAACCTTGTTTAAAATAAAAATTGTTTTTTTCTTACCTTTTACAGAATTTTTTTTTAAAGTGGTTGGGGTCAGGTTAAAAATTAATTTAAAAATTTGAAACTTTTTGAGTGTCTTCACAAGTGTAAAAAAGTAAAAAAAAACCTTGTTTGAAATAAAAATTATGTTTTTCTCTTACCTTTTAAGGAGTTTTTGATCTTTTTCTTTAAAAGTGGTCAGGGCTCAGGTTAAAAATTAATTTAAAAATCTGAAACTTTAGGAGTACCTTCAGAAGGGTAAAAAAGTAAGAAAAAACGTTGTTTGAAAAGAAAATTATGTATTTTTCTTACCTTTTAAAGAATTTTTCCGTTTTTTTTATTGTGGCCAGGGCTCAGGTTAAAAATTAAACCTGCAGTAATTTGTTATTGTTTATTATGTTATTAGATTCTTATTAGCATTTCAATGTTTTCTTTCAGGTGTTTTATTGTGTGCTTTCCAAGTGCCTTACACAACTCAGTATTAAAGGACGTGTTCTCCAGATTCGAAAATCTAATAGATGTTTACATGCTGAACAACAAAAATTGCGGATATGCCAATTATTCAACCAAAAAATCTGCCGAAGAAGCTATCAAGGTAAGAAGCAAATTAACTATTTTTTTTAATTACCAAAGTGTTATTTTTTAGGTTCTACACGGGGCAGAAATAATGGGAATAAGGATGAAAGTGATGGAGGCCCAGGAAAAGCCGGACCATCAACGAAAAAGGCAGAGAATCGACAGTCCGTTTTAAAGGTAAACTTTTTAAACCCAACTTTTCTTTTTCAGATTACGTCCGAGAGCAGGTAATATTTTCTGTGATAGATTGTTTAAAAAAGACTGACAAATAAATCCAAAAGAGTTAATAATGATTTGTCTCACGCTTTTTCTTATACGTATACATATATAGCTAAACAAAAGACTGGCTAATTAATATGATAAGGTGTAATAATCTTGCGACTAAAACAATTTGACTAACATGAGCATTTTTGACCGATTCCCATTTTAATGTGGTTTTGTTTTTCCCTCAGAGTTGACCTACTACTTTTTGACTTGGACAGACTCGCAGTTATTACGTTTTACTTTAATTTTGGGACTAAATAGTTGACGTAAAAACGAAACAAACTCACTTACTTTTAGTATAACACTTGTGTAGAACGTTTTCATGCTTGTATACATTAAATAAATAAAATCATTGGAAAATAAACGTTTTTTATTGATCCTTACCGTTTCCTCTTTTTTCGTAGCATTTAGGAAATTAAGGAATTTCTGACACTTTGTGGTAGTTAGGGTTTTAAATTGGCTTTTTTTGGGAATAATTGATTTTTTTTGGAAAATACAGGGTGTTGTGTAATTAATGTAATATATTAAAATACCAAAAACCTTTTGACATAAGGTGTACCGGTAAAATATTTAAAAAAATATTTTCCCAAAGATAAACACACTTGCGTTCATAAATACCAACCAACAAAGTAGCTGCGCGTTGCCAGTTGTAAAAAATTGTTACTAAAAATTTTTCTTGCAAAAAGTAAATAAAAACTTAATAAATACAAAAGTTTGATGCCCTTAAAGCTTTAATACCCTTCCATATTTATTTACTCATCCAGCTATTAACTTAAGCAATAATTAGAAAATTTATTAGGTACCTATTTTAAAAACTCCATAACCACAAAATTAATTTTTTCATCGGTTTTTTTCTTTCTGTTTACTCAGATGAAATTAGGACAAGTTCACATGTTTAACTTTAAACATTCAATTTGTGTAAATAAATCCAAAAGCACTTAGTTAAGATATTTACAATTTGAGCACATAACCTAAAATTTAAAAGAAATGCACTGGATTCTGTCATAAAAGTTAAAAGATTTAGTTTGAATTTACCTTCATTACAAAAATGACATCATAAAAAATTAATAAAAATGCCAAATTAACAATTACCATTGCTGATTTTGTCATTATTGTAATTAAGCTAAATTTAAACAAAATCTGGCAACTTTTTTGACAGAATCTGGAAACTCTGGTTGTTACCAATCATAACATAATAAATGAAATTAGGCAACCAGATTAGTTCCTAGTCGATCAGTGTCGTACTTTTTGCTAGGTTAAAGGTTATTATAAATTATTTTTAGAATTTAGAAAAAAGTTCAGGTGCTTCTTTATGGACCCTAAGGAACTACCCATTTTAATATATTACATTAATAACATAACAATGTATGTTCTTAAACATTCTATGAATGGTTTTATTATTTAATGTGCTTTATTTTATTTTACACTTTTTCTAGAAATAATGGAATTTAAATGATATTCCAAAAAGCGAATATTTTAGCATTATATTTTATTATCTTTTAATGACAAATGTTATCTTGAGTTATTTGCCTAGAGATAATTACAACTTTTTGTGTAGGGTTTAAAATCAATTTTATCAGTTTACTAATATCCGTAAAAATTTGCACTTTTTCTCAAAAATTGACTTTTGCATTTGAAAAAATGCAAGTCAATTTTTTCGAAAATCTCCAAAAAAAAACAACCTTTTTTCCGCCGGTTCAATTTTTCCGGAAATTTTAAACCCCGGTTTTTAAGACTTAGGTAATTATTTTTATTAATTTCATAAAAAAGTTATTTTATGAACTAAGCTGAAACCCACAAAATATCTAATATATTATTATTATATATTTAATTGTTTTTTCAAAATTACTTTTTTGGGTGAAAAAAGGGATTGGGAGAAAAAAAGATAACATGTACATATAAATTGTTTATTCAATTAATTCCTTATTAAATAATAAATCATGTAATATACTTCATTCAGTCACTCTAAATACTTAAAACAAATAATATTAGTACTTATTTAGAAACAAATGGATCCAAATAGTTTTGGACAACTTAAATGCAATAGAATTTCAGCATCCACACTTCTATATAACATCCATTCAAATATATGTATATTTACAATTATTCCTGTGTAAAAAATTATTAAATATTTCATTTAAAACTCATTATTATATTGGTAAATTTATATCGTTAATACACAGTAGTGAAAAAGATGAGAATTAACTATTTAAAAATTGTTTTAAATATACTTCATCACTTGAACAAAATTTAATAACATTAGCACCATTATACTTTTTCACGGAAACCCAAGAGTAAGGCAAATGAAGCTATAAAAATACAAGGAAAGCTCCTGTCTTAAATACATTTAAAACAATTTTATTACCATCTCTTATCTGTACTATCCTACAAGAGGAGTTTTCTACACTTATAAAAACCTATTTACAATTTATTCCAATTGATATTTTGGCAGTTGCACAATATTATGCTTCCTTATTTTTAGCCTAAGCCGTAAAGTTTAATGTTCTAGTGAATCCATTAAACTTATAAAATGTTTGGTTATGTTGGCCAAAAAACATAAAATAAAATCTGTGTATTTAAAAAATTAAATTAAATTAGTTATTACTAGCAGGGTTTTTATTAATATAATACTGAATTAACAGATAGTTAATAAATATTTAAACTATGCTAGAATGAAATTAAAGTTCAGTTTTAAGCATATTTTGTTCATAAGAGACAATAGTCTACCTTCTCTCTTTATTTTATTAATGGGGATATTATAGTATATAAAAATATATACTATTAAAAAATATTGATGCTGCTCTGCTAATAATAATAATTTGTTTGATTCTTATGTGTTTTAGCTGGTAAATAAAGTATTTATAAATGCAGACAAGTTAAAAATAAATATTTTGAGCTTGAAAAGTGGAAAACTTGGTTATGGTGTTTTTAATTTATAATTAGGTAGTTTGACGAGACTTGCAATTAAAATTTCGCATTAAATGGACTACAAAATTGTACACCATATTAGACTGGGCCAAAAAAATTGACTATTTTTTTTTTTGAAAAATATATCGAAAATGTCATTCAGAATGACAAAAAAATAATTTCGTGAAAATTTGAGCCCTTAATATTAATTTTAAGAGGTCTATCATCGCTATTTTTTATTTTTAGTCATAATTTGATGTTTTACGTTAGAACTGTCAAAACATTGAAGTGCAAAAAATTTCTTTTCACTTATTTTGATATAAAATTAAATTCTCTACAAAAAAGGTCTGATTGAAAATTTTTGTCAGACGAGCCGTTTCCGAGTAATTGAGCTTAATAAATCGATGTATTTTTTCGATTTGCCCTTTTAACTTTGAAATTTTGTAACTAATGAACCAATGAATATTTAAGAAAGCTCACGTCGGATTCTTAAAGGAAATTTAATGTTCTACAAAAAAGGTCTTTTAACATTTTTGCCTAAATTTAATTCTTCAAAAGTTATTCACGATTAAAATCGAAGAAAATCTTAAATTTTCAATTTTTTCTTCGTGAATAACTTTTGAAGAATTAAATTTAGGCAAAAATGTTAAGAGACCTTTTTTGTAGAACATTAAATTTCCTTTAAGAATCCGACGTGAGCTTTTTTAAATATTCATTGATTCATTAGTTACAAAATTTCAAAGTAAAAAGGGCAAATCGAAAAAACACATCGATTTATTAAGCTCAATTACTCGGAAACGGCTCGTCTGACGAAAATTTTCAATCAACCTTTTTTGTAGAGAATTTAATTTTATATAAAAATAAGTGAAAAGGAATTTTTTTCACTTCAATGTTTTGACAGTTCTAACGTAAAACATCAAATTATGACTAAAAATCAAAAATAGCGATGATAGACCTCTTAAAATTAATATTAAGGGCTCAAATTTTCACCAAAATTTTTTTTTGTCATTCCGAATAACATTCTCGATATATTTTTCAAAAAAAAAAATAGTCAATTTTTTTGGCCCAGTCTACACCATATGCTAAAAACCATAAAAAGTTCTTTTAAGATTTTTGTAGATTGACAAGGATTAGTCACAAAATACAAAACTGCAATAATAGGAAGCCTGTTAGATTAATAAAAATAAATAGAAAAAATTTAGTCTTCGTCATACTTTTTTTAGAATACTTCAACTCGTTTTTGTTGTTTTTTGAAAAATTTTAAGACTTAAAGGATTACGCACTTTTTACGCTTCACTGGTTCTGGCGGTTCCAAAGCGGCCAAAATGGCCTCATCAAACACGTTTTTAAGACCTTTTTGCGTCAATGCTGAACACTCAACGTATTTAACTGCTTTTAACTCTTTCGCTAGTTTTTCACCCTGTTCTATCGATATCGGTTTTTGCTTGTTTTTAGCTAGCTTTTCTATGGTGGCGCCATCGTCTCTTAAATCCACCTGCGTTCCTACTAAGAGGAAAGGCGTTTTTTGACAATGATGCGTTATTTCTGGAACCCACTGCAAAATTTATTACATTATATATTTTTTCTTTTAATAAACGATTCTCACCTTTTCTTTGACGTTTTCAAATGAGGACGGACTAACAACGGAAAAGCACACTAAGAAGACATCAGTTTGAGGGTAGCTCAAAGGACGTAGCCTATCGTAATCCTCTTGACCGGCTGTATCAAAAAGTCCCAGGGTGTAAGGTTCCCCACCAATCATAACAGTCACGGCATAGTTATCAAACACGGTCGGAACGTATTCCGAAGGAAATTTGTTGGTTGTATAACTAGAATGCAAAATTATAATTTGATATATCGAAAACAAACAAGGAAAAATATTAAAATCAAAACCGAAATCCGGAAACTCTGTATTAAAGAAACTAAAAAAAACAAAATTATAAATCCGCCTGTACACGGAAAAAAATTTTTTCTAAATAATAATAATTTGCTTAGGCTAGGAATACATTAAAATTTCTTTTAAATGTTATCCTATCCTTAAATTAAAAAGATTTTATTTCTTAGCTTAAATTCAAGTACAGTTAAAACAGATGATTGACCTAATATAGTCAAGGCTAGTGTTGCAAACAAGGAAAAGTTCGGTCGAAAAGTTGGAAAAGTTCGGCACCCCCTATGAAAAGTTGGAAAAGTTATTGGGTGGGAGACAATGAACAATGAGTTGACTTCTAACCAGTGTTTCCACTACCATACATTTTTTTGGTAGATAATTTGGTCAAAATTCGATATAAATCGCTAGATTTGAAGTGTTTTTAGTAAAACATGCTAAAAGCATTGTTTTTTGGAATAACATTTTGTCAAACTTATCAAAAATGGTGTCTGCTAACAGCATTTTCTATTATATAAAGATTCTTTTATTATAACGTATTTTAAATTTATACACAGTATGAAACAAATATTATTTTTTTTTAATTATGGAAATTTGCAAGTGAAAATATAAAAGTGGAAAAGAAGAAAGTTTCCTTTTCTTTTTAAATTTTTACTTGTAAATTTCCATAATTTTTAACAACAATAAATTTAATAATTTTTGCTTCATATTTTTTTGTAATTATTTTTTATTTTGTATGTGTTTTTTTATGGTGTTTATAAATTTTTATTCCTTTTTACTTAAAAAATATGATTTTTTTAAATTCAGACCTAGTTTATTTTTGTTGTTATTATGTTGTCTGTTCATTTTATTTAGATTGATATTTTTTTTTGTTATTTTGTTACGTATGTATAAATACATAAGAAATAAATTATTTTAATACATTGACAAGCATTATTTATGTTTTATACGTTTACATTACAAAAAACTCAACTTTTCCATCTTTTTCAACTTTTCCGAAAAATAAAACCCAACTTTTCAAAAATTTTAACTTTTCATGAAAAGTTGCAACCCTAGTCAAGGCTAAAAGTAACATTAAACTAAATATTATTTTTTTTTTCAAACAAGCAAATCTTATTCTTGCCTGTTAAATGATAAGAAAGACTTTAAATGAAATAATCTTATTCTTAATTTAAGATTAACAATCGATTAGACCAAATTTTGGATCCTGTTCTTAAAGATATAAAACTATAATGGATTAGTAAATATTGGTATGACTGCCCTATTCTTAAAAATATCCCCCACTCTACGAAAGTGGAAGATTGTTTCTTAGTTAATATTTGGTTTGGAATTATGAAAGAGCTGCTAAATTAGTAGAATTTGATAGAATTAACCACCAAATGTATGTGTAGGTAATAATTATTACATAATTATATATTATGTATTGAATTTTAGATGTTGGAGTGATATTAGGTTGGCCGAAGAATTCCATAATAAACAAATATGTATATTTTACCTCTAGATTATAGGTACAAATTTTGGTTAAACAGGCCAATATAGCCAAAAAATGTCCATCTCGCAAACAAAATCAACGTGTCTGAAGGTTTGAAAAAATCATTGCATAATAAATAAAATCATAATATATATAGGTAGATAGGTATTTGAAACATTGTAAAAAAGTTATGTAATAAAGACAATGCTATAGACCAATATCATTTTTTTCAAGTTAAGCAATATTGTCCATTCTTTTTTTAACTAAAGGTAGAGTGGAGTCTTAAAATAATAAACATGGTCATTATATCCTAACCTTTATTTAAAGTCAAGCAAAAGTTAAAAAAAGAATAGACAATATTTGAAACAATTATTGCTTAACTTACATAAAGATACCTTAAGTATATTTAATCCAATAGTAAATATTGTATCGCCATAAAAAATACCTATTCTTAAATTAGGTGTATATTTTATTTGCATTTAAAATAATAGGTATGATAGTTTTTCTTGAAATAAGAAATAGTTTACCCTTGCACCTAACATTGAAATTATATCCAAATAAGTGTAAGTTAGTTCTTGCATTCAACTCCCTATATCCTTCAAATAAGTATTTCATATTGATATTTTATTTTATAAAAAGTTTTAGCATATGTTTTTATAGTAAAATAAAATTTTAATATTCACTTACCAGCAAAACAAACTAACAAACTGTTAAATCTGATATTTCTTTAAAACACAGGTTTTAAAGCCTTCTTAATTTATTTACTTCTATACACACTTTAAAACCTAATAAACATTCAAATTTAATTAAGAGTTTAAAAGTGATTATTAAAAAATGCATTAATATTTGGTATCAAATTTAAAAATCTGGATGACCAAAAAACCACCCTTTTCTACTTGGCCCAACATAAAGCAGAAAAACCAAGGCACTCTAGATATAGAAATAAAATTTAATCAAAATGTGATTTAAACTGTCAAAATTTGATTTTGAATTGGTGAAATCGGAAGTGACAAAAATATGTTAAATATGTCATAAAGTTCTAAATTACACTTTATTAAGGTCACCCCAGTTTCATAAACCTAGATAAAATACCAAATTTTTACAAGGAACCACAAATTTACTTGAAAATGGCATTTTCATTAAAAAAATAATAATTCCAAAACGACGAATTTAGCCAACTCGACAAAAATTTAGTTAAAAAATAACGTTCTACACCTTTTGGTTGATTTGAGATGAAAAGGCTGTATATCAACTAGAATATTTACTTGTGGTAGGTACCCAGATAATAAAATATTATTAAATATTATAATAATATATTATTAAATATTATAATTATATATATAATATAATATATTAGATATTATATATATAATATAATATATTACTTTGTAAATTATTTGAATTATGACTATGTAGTAGAGGTTCCCTATGTAAACAAATGTGCTAATTTGTGGGATGAATATACGCATTATTATTATTATTATTACATTATTACTTACCTAATTAGCAAGCAAGTTTTACCCACGGCACCGTCGCCTACCACAACACACTTAATGGTTTGCATTTTGACTTCCTCCTGTACACCTAAAAAGATAAAATGTCAAACTTAACACAACATATTTCTTAGTTAATAGTTCTCAAGCACCGATAAAACAACAACTTTAGGCCTGAACTGAACGGAATGCGAGCAAAACTCCGCAAGAACATCACTTTTAATGTATGCGGATGTATTTTTATCAGTTTTGCTGCCATTTTTGTGCAACCCAGCGTCATTCTTGCGTCTTGCACACCCGGAAGCCGATTGCTGGCTTAATTTTGGCGTTTCGGAGTTTTCGACGCTACGAGGACATTCTTACGTACCTGTGCTTTGAAAATATAGCCTAAACCGACATAAATGTTGCGAAAAACTATAACAAATCCTGCACTTTTGGGTTGGGTTCACGTACACACTTCGGAATGTAATTTCCTACTGTGGCGCCATCTTCAACTGCGTGAAACTGACTTTTAACGTATGTACGAGGGTTAGTCGAATATACGGAATACCTGCAAAATACCAGGGGTGCAGGTTTGGTTGTACTAAAAACGCCGATTTACAAAACATTTATTACAACAGTAATTAAAACCAATATAAATAAGTAAGAGATTTATTTTGAGTATTTAATACCTTCTACAACATAGAACCCTTTTAAAATAAGAACAATAGGGAAATCCCATCCAACTATTTTGTTGTTTTTCGTATTTATCGTAAGTTTCGAAAATTAACTCTCTTAATTTATCGGTATTTTCCTGAAAGGAAAAATATTTTAAAATAATTGTAATAATTTTAAAAATATTGCATACACTTGTTTTTGCGGAACATTCAATGTAAGTCATTTTTTCTTCCTTGGCCAAACTTTTGGCCGCTTCTTCCGGCACAAAATTTTCCTTGCTCATGTTCATTCTATCGATTGTTTCCGCGTCATTTCTCAGGTCACTTTTGGTCCCAACCAATATTAAACCAGCATCTTTTATGCCAGCGAATTGTCGAATTTCACTTAGCCACTAAAAACAATAAAAACATTTCTTTTACTTAACAAAATTTTATTTAAACATACGCTTGATTTAACATTTTCAAAAGATGTCGAATTTTCGATGGAAAAACAAACTAAAAACACGTTAACATCGCTGAATGCCTGCGTTCTAATTGCTTTATAATCTTCCTGACCTAAAAAATATAAAAATGTAATTGTCTCATAAATGTGTTATTTTAGTCCAGTCGATATATTTATTTACCCAACTAGTGCGGAAATTAATGTCAATTGACATTATTTTACAAGGGCGTCACGAGATTTATGGACGCGAAATTCTATTACAACATAAAGACCCTTAACTATTAGCTATTTTCGCGGAGCTAATCCCGAACTAATTCCGGACATCCAAGGCATGCGCTTTTTAAAATTTGGGGTTCAAACTGTAAAGTGCGCATGACAAATATTAAAATGCGCATGCCTAGGATGCCCGAACTAGTTCGGGATTATCACCGCGAAAACACCTATTAATAGAAATTATGGGAATTTCCATACATTAGTGTGCCATTTTTGAGACACCCCGTATATGCTGTGGCGAAAACACAAACCTGCAGTATCAATTAAATGAAGATCATATGTTTTTCCATTATAAACTTGAGTTATAGCCGTATTATCAAATATTGTGGGTGCATAGGAATCTTTAAATACTTTTTTGCTTATCCTAAAAAATAAAATAAAAAAAAAAATACTCAACTAGGTTTTCTCTAAAAATATTTTAATAAAATATACAAAACAATAGGCAATAAATGCATATCTTAAACATACATATGCAGTTTAAAAATAACACATTTTGTTTCGTCAATAACACCTCATATAAACTAATAATTATTATTATTTTGGCTTTTATTTTATTTGATCCATAAAACCCTACCTTGTTAATAGGACAGTTTTTCCAACAAACCCGTCTCCCACCACGATACATTTCACCATTTTTTTTTTATCTTCGGTCATTTTCTTTATTTATTTGTTTTCCATGAATAAATAAAGTATAAAACAATTACAACACCATAGTATTCAAGTCTATCCAGTATTTTCGCACGTAAAAACTAGTCATCTAATAAAAAAGATAAAACAATTTACATTTCGTTATCTTTATTATCTTTAAATAGCTTTTGTGTATCCAATGTAAATACAATACAAAAATCATAAAATTCCGGCGATAAGAGAAGTTTTTAAAATTACCGCCATAAAGCATGTATGCCAACTTATCACGATTCTAATAAAATTTCCCAATGCAATGTCAAAATTTTAGGTTATAATCATACAAAATCAAAATAAATTAATTTCACAAGGTACGAAAATAATTAAGTGAAAATGAGAAGGTTGCCGAGCAAAACGAACAGTATTTTGGACACTTTACACAAAGGTTTTGTGTGCACTTGCATTGCAGTAACAGCATATGGATTTGCAGTTCTGGGTAACCGATACTATTGTTATTTGACCCAAACCAAACCAATTCTGGATACCCAAAAACAAAAGGAAAAAGAAATCTTATTAGCTGAAGGTTCATCAGATCATTTATTGGACACAGCGAAAACGATAAAATTGTAAAAAAAAATATTTTTATAGGTTATGTTAGTTTGTATTAGCAAATAAAATGTTTTAAATCTCTGAATGTATTTTTTATTGTTTGTTAGTTAATTTTTCGTGATAATAGAGGGACGGAAATCGTTGTTGCTTTTAAAATAATTAATTTAAATAATGGGAGGGGTGTTTACCGGGGTGTTTCTGTTAGTTCTCGAATTATTTTGCGTTGTTACAATGTTGATGCAGATGATTTTTATTTTCTAGTTAACCTTCACTTTATTGCAGTGCAATAATTGCACACCTTTAGCTAAATTATGTTAATGAGTAAATCGCATTTATAATAAAAATGTGCCGGTATATTTTGATGAGCTCTCGTATTTTTCAAGATGGCGGTGTCTACTCGGTCCAACAACAAATTTATTTAATTTACGCAAAACATTACGAATTAATGAGGCACAATGAGTTCACGAAGGTAAGTAAACATAATATTCTTTAATTAAACGTAAAATTTTGCGCGATTCCCTTTATTATAAGCGAAAAATAGGCAAAAATATGTGTTCTGTCAAAAGCCAAATTTACACAGCTACAATTGGATTTTGTTTATTTTTTTTGCGAATAATAATTGAATCAAGGCTTTCAGGTATAAGAAAGCTTAAAATCATGAATTTTTCAGGTGGTTTTGGCCCGCTATCACCGGCATTGAAGCCGAAAAATTGTTAATGGAAAGAGGTGTAGATTGCAGTTTTTTGGCTCGACCCAGTTCCTCTATTCCCGGCGATTTTACACTTTCAGTTAGGTAAATATTAGCATTATTATTACATCTACACAATTATTATTATTTATTAGTTTTATAAATAAGTAATAGTAGGCTGTGACAGCAATGCCAATGTAGTAAAAATAAAACGTTGTATTTTAATTAACAAATTACCACTTTATTACAAATTAAAGCATCATTATAAACTAAAAACAATATTAAAAGTCAATAAATAACAATGTAAATTGTTAATTAGTTGTTATAATGGCAAAATTATGGTTTAAAACTGTCATATTTTTGTGTATCATAAGTTGGCAGCACAAATTTTGAAATGACAAGTGCTAAAAAATTGTTTTTGAAGACTTTAATAAAAAGTATAATAATAATCGATTTCTAAGCATAGTTTTGAAACGATTTTTTGTAAAAATCTATGCAAAATAACACTTTTGCAGAAGAAATGTGTGATTATACAAAATCATAAATTAAAATTTGAACACATTCTATGAAAACCTCAAAAGGAGATACCTACAACCTTAAATTTAGATTTTAAAAGAAGATATATTACATTTTTGTTGCTTAGTTTGTTGACATTATAAATACCATCGACCACATTTTTTCTCATAGACGAAATGGTGAGGTCACACACATCAAAATCCAAAATTCTGGAGACTTCTACGATTTGTATGGAGGAGAAAAATTTGCAACATTATCTGAATTGGTACAATACTACATGGAAAAACAGGGTCAACTTAAAGAAAAAAATGGGGAAGTTATAGAGCTTAAGTTTCCTTTGAACTGTGCTGATATCACTAGGGAACGGTAAGTACATATTTTTATTTGAATGTGTTTTTAATATCAGTTATTGGTACTTCTGTTTTAAATAATATTAAATATTTTGACAGTTCTAAAAAGTTGTATAGTTGTATATTATGTATCAAGTTTGATAAACGCCATTTTATACACGAATTTAATTTAGGCACAAGGGAGCTTGCGAGCGAGTACTTAAATTAACGAGTGTATAGAAAAGGTTATAAACGAGGTGCATACTATACTTTTTTTATGACAAATATTATTATTATCTTAAAATGATTCAAATCAAAAATTTATATAGAGCGCCATCTATGAAACAATAGGGGAATCTGTGTGTCTGTAGGGAAATGTCACATTTTTATATTTTATAAACACAGATTATAAATCGAAATGTATTTCTTGAAAATTGACAGTTTTTCATAGTGAAAGTAAAGAAAATGTTTTATAAGGAATGAATTTAAGTTATAGTTTACTGCCGGCTAAATAAAAGGACAGTACAATGTTCATATAAACTTTTCAAATATTGGCGTTGAGAACCTATTTACCTAATACTTTTGTATTTTTGTATTGGGATAATAATAGTTATTTATGTCATTAGGTTAAGAAGTAAGGCTTTTTGTGATAAGCTCAAGGTTTGACAATTGAGCGAAGCACAAAAAGGCACTTCTTGGCAGAATGGCATACAACATTTTATCTTCAAAGCACTTTATATAGGTCAATTTAATTCAACATCAAAGCGGCCTAACCTCACTTTTTTATAATTTCATTTATTTATTAGCTAAAGATTACATTAAATGTACAATAATTATTATTGCTTTTAGAAGCAATAATAGTTTGACAATACCTAGCAACATGATTTAAGTAGAAATGGATTTTTGCTATTACATTGAATTCAATTAATTGTTTAATAAATAGGCAGGTATCTACTTTCAATTTGTTTGGGTTTTTATTTAAAAAATAGGTAGTTTGGAATGTTTTAGCTGTGTTTAACATTTAATATCACTGAAAACTTAAAGCAAATTAAAACTTAAAGATAAATTAAATCGTAGAAAAAGAATCGTGCGTTTTCTTGGTTGCCTAACCTCACTTTTTGTTTTATTATTTATATTTAATTTTACAATAATTTAATGAAAAATATTAAACATTAAGAGTAAAACAAACAAATTAGTGCTTATTATAAATAAATTAAACCAGTTTAGTACGTTAATTTCTTAGAAAAGGATTAATTTGTCAAAACAATACGCCTAGCGAGAAAAAATCGAACTAATTACTTGCCTCATCAAATTTTTTATCGGCCTAGGCCATAACAAGGTATTTCTTTATCGAATGTTGACAACAATAAAGTTTAAATTATAGACCGCGTGGAGATAACATAATTTTCACATTTAGTATTATTTTACAAGAAAGGCACTTTATTTTAACGATTGTATGACATTTGACAACTAACTTAAAACTAACTTCAGCCCGTGACTAAAGCGCCATAAAGCCTTAACTTGTCAATGTGTATTTAAAAGGTCACTTAGTGTCATGGAAACATGTTCGAGGGGCGTTTTAAAAGTGGGAGTAGAAATTTTTTTTTAAAAATACAGCCGAATATAAGAACATTGAACATAACCTGATTTGTTGACATTGTCAATTTTACTTACTGATTGAACAAATTATAAAACAATTCAATTTTTTATGATTAAAATCGTAGATCAGAAATAATTGCAAATCAAAATATTGTACTTCTTTTATTTATTTATTAGGTTATTAAAATTCAATTTATAAAGTTGCTAGTGGAATAACTAATTTATTTAAGTAGGTACTTGCATGTAAAACCCCACGTATTTAAAATGCTTGTTTATGGATTATTTTTAGATATTGAAGCTATAAATTAAATACTTTTAATTTTTGTTTGATTCTGCTTTTCATTTTATTTTTTTTATAATTTATCTATTAAGTGCCATATTGTGTTATAATAAATTTAAAAGATGTTTAAAAAATAAATTACCCATTACGATATTTTTTAGATAAATTTTTGAAAAGTTGAGGATTTTTAAATTGAATTTAAATTATTTTACAAAATTAAAAAGGAATAAAATGTTATGTACATAGGTGTATGTATCTTGGTACATAGGTACTCAATGACTAAGATTGTGTGACTAATAAAACTACAGTTTATTATGCAACCCTTGCATTCCTTTTTCAGAAATAATATTTTTGCGCCTGTGTCCGATTAAAATGAATATTCCTGTGGGTGAAACCGTTTTGAAGTGGGCGGTTTCTCAGAAATGTGTATTGGTTTGAGTTTTTATAATTTTAAATTCAAAAACAATATTTAATAACCTACTTGATATAAAATAATACACTTATAAGGCTTAAATTATTAGATTTTTAGGTTATACATACCTCTTTTCATATGAGGTATTACAAATTAATCTATAAATTAATTTGTAACTTATAAGTTGTGTTTTAGATATTTAATTATATGTAATTGTAATTAATGGATTATTGCTCTTGTAATTTAAAGTATAATTATTAAACGCTTTAAAGAATTTCCTTATTGGATAAATAGGTACCTACTATATTAATTAACATTAAAAATTAATTTAGTAATGGTGAATTACCGTATTTTTTATATAATTTTTTTTATTCAAAATCTTGTCGTTTTTAAAATTTTGTTTGTGATTCTGTATGCTTAAGAATGGATTTTCAAAATGAAAAAATATTCAGTGCGCATAGCCGATTCAGTGTCATTGTTCAAGGCATTTAAAACAATACCTCGGTAACCTCTTGCAAGGTTTGCGGACGGTAGTTAACAAAAAATTTTTATCAGACACGGAAATGCCCTGAATTCATGAAATAAAAATATATATAAGTAATATACATCCAATAATCCAAGTTTGTCATTTTTATTAATTTTTTCTAATTTTTGTTGAATTATTTCAACATAAAAATTTATATGGTTTAGGAAGCAATATACCAATCAGATCAGGGTATTCTCCGTCGTAATATACAGGGTTAAAAGTAGGGCTGCACCGGTTAAATTGCATAATAAAACAATTCAATTGTTTTAAGAAAATGCATAATAAATAAAACAATAAGGATCAGTCAACAAAATGATACACAAACATGTTAAGTGGGTGTGTCTGGCACAATTATTTTACAGAAAAACAATTGAAGGCATGCAAAACTATCCAATCGAAAAATATAATTCAGTAAATTCTCCACCCTAAACATGACGTTAAAATTACTTAAACTGTTTATTTTATCGATTTAAAAAAATATATTTAAATTTAATACGCACAAAACACCTTAAAGATTTTTAGCGTGCAAATGTTATTGTTGTAAAAAATGGTATCAATAAACTTGTAGTTGTTAAAATTTATTACAAACAATGCATAAATTTTAAAGTGGTCCATCCTACGTATAGACCACCATATTTGAGTGGTCAGACTACAGTATGTGTACACACAAAGTTGTTATATTTGTTAATATTTTTAATATACCTAGGTAGTCCTTGTACCAATAAGATTAATGCCTTGAAAATCTACGCTTCAAATAAATTAAAAACAAGTAGTTTAATTCATGTTACTAGGTTGGCACAATTGACGTGAAGCGAAATGTCAAAATTAAATATTTAGTAAAAAGTCACATTTTAAAATCAAAATGGTCAAAACAATTGTTTTGTCTATTTTGATGCTTCTAAGAGCTAAACTCAGTTTAAATTTACTTCTTATGTTATTCACATTTTATAACATAATTTTGATTAACAAAACAAGATAAACGAGTTTTGAAAACATCATTTACATGAAAATTAAAAGGGTTGCCAGCAGTCTGAAACGAAAAATCCCTAACTTATTTTTGCAAACATTGACTAAAATTAGAAGAAAAATTGCTATTGTTATCTGCAATTTAAATAATTGTTTTTTAAATAAGGTGAATTATTTTGAAGTAAACAACTTATTTTTATTATAGTTCAAGCTATTGTTACTATTTTAACATTATTGACAACTATTATTAAATCTGTTTTTAAGGATTTTAATTCGTTGAAGAGACCTTGATATTGAACGAGTTGCCACATTAAAATTAATACATACACTTTTTTACACTGTTTACACTGTTTTTGCTCTTGACAGTCTTAATCTTGATCTGGAGCATTATTAAATCAATTTGCCATAAATCTTGGGCTTGATGTTACTAGGTTAATTGTAAGTAAATTAAATAAAATACGCGAATCGTATTTGCAGACCTTTTGCTAGACGATTTTTCAATCGTTTTCGAAAAACCAAGGATAAGGACAAAGATATTATTACCAGTGTACTTAACCACAATCTACAAATAGAATTTTAAGCGCTTTATTATTTGAAGTCGCTACATTTTTGTGGGTTATAAAACTCAAAGTAATCAGAAAACATGCAATAAATGATAAGAAATTCTTGAAATCCCTTTAAATTATTTTAAAGAACGGTTCTAAGTTCTTTTAGTGGGTTTATGATAAAAATTGTCCCGAAAGGTTTTATCATGATGTTTAGTAGTGCATTCCTGTTAAAAACAAAAAGTGTACTTTTACTACAGTTCTATTCTATTCTATTACTTAAGACATGATCAATACTTATGGTTTTTAAAATTACCCTATTTTTACCACGACTTTTAAAAATGGTGACATAAAAACATTTTATCCGAAATCGGCAGTAAAGTAGAACCTTATTGCCGATTTAATACGAGTATTGTATGCAACCCATTATACATTTTAAGATGTGTCTACTGCTCCTCAGCAGCAACTAATAATATTTTAAAAAAACACCGTCGCGGAGGTCGATTGGACCCTTTCATAAAGTGTTGTTAAATAAAAATAATAAGTTAATTTTATTAATTGGCAAATATATAATAATCGTCGCAACAAACAGTATTATTAAATGTGATTTCGGATAATATTTAATATGCACCTCGGCATTAAAGTCATTTTTTATCACTCACGTGGCTTTTGTCTCGGCAAATAATTTCCACGTGATCAAAAATACGAC